TTTAAAGTTGTTCAAATGAAGTTCTTAGCAATGCATATTACTAATCAAACATTAAGTTTTGATATATTTACGGTAGGAGATTTACTAAATATCTTCATGGAACATGATCTTTACTTAATATCCTAATGATTTTTGGCATAAAAGAGAAATGTATAATTGTGACCCATACAATGTATTGTTGGCTATTGCTACAAATATCCCCCAGCGACTTAACACTGCTTCTGTGCTGCAGGGACACATATATGTTACAGTGTTGCCAAAGCATGTATATAGCGTATTTCAATGCTTCAAACTGTGGGAAGAATATTTGTCTTGTAGTGGTGTATTTGGGGCAGACAAGAAGAAAGTGTTTTTTTATCCTCTGTTTGATTTACGTCACAGTGTTTGCATAGTTGCTGTTCTCTCGGCATCCGGGAGTCGTAGTCGCCGAGTCGATATTTGGGAAGGATTTGTCTTTCTTTTAATGATTTGATTGATAAGTAATTTGCCAATTTGGTGGTTGTGTTTAGGGCCGAATAACACTGGAGTTTGGTTTGGAGGTCAAATTCGTTTTTTTGTTATTTTTGTCAATTTCTTGATTATGATTGAGTTTCTCTGTCTCAGATCTGGTGCAGTCGCTGAGGGCCGAGTACGTGGCTCCGCTGGTGCTGTGGCTGTGTCATGAAGCGTGTCAGGAGAACGGAGGGCTGTTCGAGGTGGGCAGAGGCGCGCTCCTGTCGCTCAAACACTAGAGAAATGCAAGGCTCTTGGGTTTGATTTCAAGGGAATGCATGGACTGAATGAACGCGTACTGTACCTTGAGTGCATTAACTGCAGTTTAGATAAAAGCATCTGATCAGTGCATGCATGTAAACGTGTTTATTCTGAAACTCATCAGCTGCTGTTTGTGTTTTAGGTCGGCGCCGGATGGATCGGCAAATGTAAGTTCTGCTGAACCTGATGATCTCTGTGGGAGAAGATCCGCATCAGCAATAGAAATAGATGCATGACTCACCCTTATGCACACATTTATATACATATACACACACACACACACACACATATATATATATACACATACAAACACAAGTTTATTCAGTGGTGCTTAAGCCTCAGCATTACTAGTCCTTATATGGATTTAAACCCATTTACACCGCATGTTAACATCTGGATTAGAGGTCAAAGGTTACATTAACAACATTTTCGGTCATCTACCATTTTTAAAAAACACAGAAATCCTTGAAATGTCACATCCACAGCAGCTTTAGGGAAACTCATGATGCTTACAGTGTTTATAATACTTAAATGCTTATTTCTCCACATTTGGCAATTAAGAGCTGGATGATGACAATATGAAGAAAATCAGGTGACCAGATCACATGACCACTGTGGGTTTCACAGCACATGTTGAAATGAACCAGAAAGCCTGATGAGACTCCTACAGCGCTTTATACAGGACAGCTTCACAGTAATAAACACTGTTGCTAACCTCATCAGTTATCAAATGACTTGTCAAGCAGAAATGTCACGAGATAATAGTGTCATTGTTCAGCAACAGTGTTAATGTTGTAACAGTCATCAAATATGAAAATTTAGCTTCTGCTGTAAAGCAGCTCTACAGAAAACAATAGAGTCATTATTCAGATCAAATCAGTTCAGTGTGTTCACCAGTTATTACTGTAACTCTTTGTAGCGAGTATACTGTGATTTTCCCCTCTCAGCCTCGTAGCAGCACCACCACACTCACTAAACAGGGCTCTACGCGTACTTTTATGTTTAGGAGCACTTGTGCTGCTAATTAAAAAAAAATAATAATAATTAGGAGCACAGAGAAAAAAATTCAGGAGCACCTTCTGAACAATAACAAAATAACAATGTCTAGCTTTATCTTTTGTCAAATTCAAAAGTGTATTTTTAGAAGTTTTTTTCAAAATTGCTAATTAAAACAATGGAATAAGATTAATAAGTTACCAATCAAATAAAATCCGTATTAACAAAATTAATTTGCGCTACAGAGGGGGCACAGAAGAACACAAAAGTGGCTTTTGTGAGACATTTAATGAGGCTCAGAGTAACTTCATGGTGAGAATAAGTTAAGAAAATGAGAAACTAAAACTGCCAGCAGGTGGCGGCAAGTTACGGATTTTATCACTGAATCATTCACTCAGTTGATTCGTTCGAACGACTGATTCATTCAGGAACAAAGCACGTGACGGTCTTTATGAATGGGTGATTGAATCGACTCTCTAGATTCGTTTTAAAACGCAGATTCATTCATAAACGAAACAACGCTGTGTTTGAATGTGCAGCGGCTCAGTTGTTTGAAACTATTTTAGTTGACAAAATAGAGTAAAATCAGGCAATACTGTTATAGTCAGACAATGTAAGTTACTTAATATTAACTTTTTGTTTATTGAAATCACTAATTGTTCTTACATGCCAACAATCCCCTGCCGTTACATTTAAGGTTGTGAAAGGTCTTTCACAAAATGATGTTGTTACGTATCCACACGCTTTTTTAAGTGGGTATACGCAAATCCTTGACCTTTCCTAGTGCGTATACCTGCGTATACCTGCGTATCATGTAGACTACACCACTGCTGTAACTGTATTTATACTGTATTACTGTTCACCTCTGAATGGGTTTCAGTCTTCATGTGATTTCTGTGATCTGATCACTCAATGTGCAGGTTAAGACGTGACCCTGGAGCACAAAACCAGTCATAAGGGTCCATTCTTTAAAATTGAGATGTATGCATCAGCTGAATGGTTTGTTAGGATAGGACAATATTTGGCTGAGATACAACTATTTGAAAATCTGGAATCTGAGGGTGCAAAAAAATCTAAATATTGAGAAAATCATCTTTAAAGTTGTCCAAATGAAGTTCTTAGCAATGCATATTACTAATCAAACATTAAGTTTTGATATATTTACGGTAGGACATTTACTAAATATCTTCATGGAACATGATCTTTACTTAATATGCTAATGATTTTTGGCATAAAAGAGAAATGTATAATTGTGACCCATACAGTGTATTGTTGGCTATTGCTACAAATACACCTGTGCTGCTTAAGACTGCTTTTGTGCTCATGTAGTGTGTCTGCTGTGGTGCAGTGCGCTGGGAGAGGAGTCTGGGCCGAACCGTGCGGCAGAAGAACAAGAGCATGACGCCGGAGGCTGTGCGAGACGCTTGGAACGAGATCTGTGACTTCACTGACGCCAGCAAACCCGCCAGCATCCAGGGTAAACCTCACTCACACTATTACAGCTCGTTAGCAGACCAAAGAACGTCCAGAGCGCTTCAGCCTCGTTAGTGCACATCAGAGCTAATTAACTTACTCACTGTGTTGATGAAGAGTCGCTGCAGACGCTGGTGGAGGTTCTGTCCAGAGTGGAAGATGAGCGTGGAATCAGAGCCAATCCGACCGGAGCGACCGCCGGCACAAACCCTGTGAGAACATCATCAACACACTGAAGAACACGGTGTTCTTCCTCACTATTACTGTCACTGTCCCGTTTTCCTTCGGAACATCCTTAAATCACAGGAGATGCAAAATGTGCTCACCGTCAATCCATACCAGATCAGGATGAGTGTGTTTCTTCATCAGGTTTGGAGAAATGTAGCACTGCATCAGTGTCTCAGCAATGGATGCTCTGCAGTGAATGGGTGCCGTCAGAACGAGAGTCCAAACAGCTGATAAAAACATCACAATAATCCACAGCACTCCAGTCCATCAGTGAACATCTGGAGAAGACAAAAGAAGAAACTAATCCAGCATTAAGATGTTTTTAACTAAAACACATAGAGTCTATAATCCATAATAACTCTTCCTCCAGTGAGTCAGTGTTCTGGTGTGAATCAGGAGAGAAATCTGCACAGATCAAGCAGCGTTTAAACAGCTCTAAACACATATGTGGCTGGATTTTGATGCGAGAGACAACAGCAGATGCTCTTTTTCACTGGAGGAAGAGTTATTATGGATTATAGACTCTATGTGTTTTAGTTAAAAACATCTTAATGCTGGATTAGTTTCTTCTTTTGTCTTCTCCAGATGTTCACTGATGGACTGGAGTGCTGTGGATTATTGTGATGTTTTTATCAGCTGTTTGGACTCTCATTCTGACGGCACCCATTCACTTGCAGTGAGACACTGATGCAATGCTACATTTCTACAAACCTGATGAAGAAACAAACTCATCCTGATCTCAGATGATCCTGAGGGTGAGCACATTCTTAAATCATTTTGCTTTTTGAGTAATCTTGATGTTTAGATATTTGCTAGACATAAACACTAAGGAAAAGCTAGTGTTGCGTTGCTCCTGTATAAGGTGTTGTTGTGTTGGTCAGTCGTCGGCTGTGGGACAGACGCTGCCGGAGATGAGCTTCTCGTACACACACATGAACTGTATTCTGTATGCTCTGGGAGTGGGGATGTCCACCAGAGAGCCTGACCAACTCAAGTTCCTCTACGAAGGCCACGAGGACTTCAGCTGTCTGCCTACGTTTGGAGTGATTCCGGCCCAGAGCGCCATGACGGGCCTCGGCAGCATCCCAGGCCTCAACATCGACTTCACCAGGGTAAGAGTCCGTCCATCTGTGGGTTTACTGTGTTTACATGTCGATCCGAGTGTGAGCAGTGTGTGTGTGTTGCAGCTTCTGCACGGAGAGCAGTATCTAGAGATGTTCAGAGCGCTGCCCACCTCAGGTGACCGCCACAAACACACCGTATCTGCTCATTCTGTTCATGTTCACGTGGATACTGAAGATGTTCTCTGTCCTCAGGGACGCTGACGTCTCGGGCCACGGTGGCAGATGTGCTGGATAAAGGGTCAGGAATGGTCATCCTGCTGGACGGTGAGTTACAGACCAGCTTACACCAGTTTAAGTACATAGAGAGTGACATGATCGACATCAGAAGATTGGAGTTGGGAAGATTTCCAAGTGTTTTTGAAAGAAGTCTTTTTCTGCTCAGCAAGGCTGCATTTATTTGATCAAAAATACTGTAAAAATTGTGAAATAGTATTAGAATTTAAAACAGCTGTTTTCTCTGTGAATATGTGTTAAACTGTAATGTATTTCTGTGATGCGCAGCTGTATTTTCAGCATCATTACTCCAGTCTTCAGTGTCACATGATCTTCAGAAATCAGTATAATATGCTGCTCTGCTGCTCGAGAAACATTTCTGATTATTATCAATGTTGAACACAGTCGTGCTTGCACAATATTTTTGTGGAAACTGTGATGCATTTAATTTTTCAGGATTCACAGATGAATAGAAAGTTCAAAAGTACAGCATTTCTTTAAAATAGAAACACTTTGTAACATAAATCTTCACTGACACTACTTTTGATTGATTTAATGCGTCTCCTCGATGAATAAACGTATTCATTTCTTTCACAGTATTACTTTGGAACTGTAGTGTATATTTGTGTTTGTATTTCAGTTCATACGTACAGCGGGCGTGAGCTGGTGTGTTATAATCAGTTCTCGGTGTTCGTTGTTGGCGCTGGAGGATTCGGAGGGAAGCGGACATCCCAGAAGGCTGTGGTGAATGAAAAGCCATTTAACACCTTCAGCTGGACTGTGTCACAAACAGTCATTAATGAATGGATTACTGTTTCAGGTCACAGCTCCTCTTCCAGACAGAGCTCCAGACGCTGTGATTGTAGATCAGACATCTAGAGATCAGGTGAGACAGATTCACACGGTTCCTCAAACTGCACTACTGTTCAAACGTTCGGGTTTTCTTAAAGAAACGAATACTTTTATTCATCAAGGATGCATTAAATTGATCAAAAGAGACAAAGACATATGTGACCCTGGAGCACAAAAGCAGTCATAAGTAGCACAGGTTTATTTGTAGCAATAGCCAAGATGTAAAGATCATGTTCCATGACGATATCTTGTAAATGTCCTACCGTAAATATATCAAAACTTAATGTTTGATTAGTATATGCAGAGTCAACCAATGGAGTGAGTTTGGGGCGGGACTATCAGTTCGACCGGCCAATAACAGAATCCGTTTGGAGAGACTGAATAACACACTTCAGCTTTTAAACAGTTTCTGATCGTTGAAGCTTTATCTTGATATGATCCACAGGATTCGAGTCTCCCATCCTGCACGGCCTGTGTTCCTTTGGCTTCGCCGCTCGTCACGCTCTGAAGCAGTACGCAGCAAACGACGTGTCCAGATTCAAGTCCATCAAGGTAAAACAGCATGGACATGGATGGCTGTCAATTAAACGGTGTTTATTTGGGTGCAGTTAAGACCGACTGCATGATGAAGTCCATTAGAATGCAGTTATATGAGCCTAAAATTCAAGATATGAGCACAAAAAAATAAATGAGCTACTTATATTTATATGATATGATTTAGTTTTGTGATATCACACCAGCAAGAGTGCTGTTTTACACCAATATCTGCACCACTGCAAATGTGATATTGATTTATACAAGTTCAATAAACAAGACGTTCATATTGTGTTTAAGACTCAATATTATCCGCCTTTGCTCAATTTTGCAAATGAAAATAGTTCCAATCAAAGCCATAGCAGAACTGTGATGAACACACAGCGGTGATTCATTACTGAATTAATCTACGGCTCTGAACGAATCAAGTGAGTCAGTGATTCAGTGACTCGTTCATAAAGGAATGAATCAGCTGCTTGAACAAATTGGTTGAATTAATGATTTAACGATTCACTCTTTAAGACACCTACTGGCGCTGTTTCATATTTAGAGTATCATTTAAATTTAAAAAAATTCATATTTCAATATTAATTTTTATTATATTCCTGCAAAGTTTAATAAAAATTGTCTTTGTAAAGATACTTTTTGTAATGTCTATTCAATGCTTTTCTCATTAAGCGATCTTTTGGGAGGTGAATTCTCAGTTCAAACTGATGTGTGATTAATTGATTAATTACAGGGATTAAAGTGTTCCGTCGCTACGACGGATTTCCGTCAGTTCATAAAGACTTCACTTGCTTCATTCCTGAATGAATCAGCCGTTCGAACAAATCAATTGAATGAATGATTCAGTGATCAAATCAGTGAATTGCCGCCACCTGCTGGTGGATTTAGATTCATTTTTATCTTATAATTTCAGTTATTTGAATCATATTACATGAATTTCTGAATTTAATTGCACTCATGCTACCTCTGAGCCCGAGTAAAATGTACCTAGAAGCCACTTGAGGTGGCATGCGTGCAATTAAATTCAGAAATTCATGTGGAGATTAATGTTTTAAATATAAAATTTTGAATACAGAAATATGATTCAAATAACTGAAATCTTTTCACTGAATCATTCATTCATTTGATTTGTTCGAACGGCTGATTCATTCAGGAATGAAGCAAGTGAAGTCTTTATGAACTGACGGAACACTTTAATCCCTGTAATTAACCTGCACATCATGTAATTAATTATCAGCTCTGTTAATAACCCTAATCTGTGTTTCAGGTGCGTTTCGTGAAGCCCGTGTATCCGGGACAGTCTCTGCAGACGGAGATGTGGAAGGAAGCGAACAGGATTCACCTCCAGTGTAAGGTGAGGAAGCGTTCGCTCTCCCAGAATGCCCTGGGCCAGAGTTAGGGTTGGGTAACGAAACCTGGTACCAATGTAACCGGTATGTACAAGAACTGAATCATTTCGGTGCCATACCTGAGCGATCGATTGAAATATTTGTCCTCTGGTTCTCCGAAACGGACGTAAGAAGCATCATCACCGGCACCGCACGTGAAAGATAATTTCCTGACTGAGAAAATGCACCTGAACTCAAGTCGGAAAGCTCTAATAATACAGAGCCAACACATCTTTGTAGTAACGAGAGTGTCCATGTTGTTTTCACATTCCGACTTAAAAGCAGAACTCGGGAAACGAGAACATCCGAGGAGCGCGTGAATGCAGTAATTACACTTGCTCTGATGGCAGCCGGTAGCCTTCCGTTAACTAAGCTAAACATGCTTACATTAAAATGCCTAAAGCTAAACCTCCCTTGTATTCACATTTCTAAACCTGTTGTCCAACAAAAGAGAACATTATAACCTTTTTACTCCACAACACCAGTCACATACTTCCTTCTGTGATCTGACGAGGCTTCTTGTCACAGAACGAGGCAGAAAATATGTTCCATAGGCTACTTTAAAAAGAATACATCGATTAGCAATGGATTATCAATATACTTAATTATTATGAAAATACCAGAGATGGCTTGAATAACACAGATAAACTATATTGTGGCAGTCGAGTGTTTATTGTCTTTGTTTTATCATTCAAAACATTTATATCTTCGGTTTACTCCATTACAGCTATAACAGATGTCTTTGTGCATATAAGGGATTTCCTGGAGGGTCGTGAGTTCTCTACTTCTGTGACTGGATGTGTGGATTCTCTGTGCGAGGGCGCCCTCTGGCGTCCAGTATGAATGAAACCGATCATGTCTTTATAGTGCTAGCCAGAGTTCTGTCCTGTTTGTGATCTGTTCTGGCTCTCTAGGTGAAGGAAAGCGGGGATGTGGTGCTGTCTGGAGCGTATATAGATCTGCACGCAGATGCGTCTGTCAGCGCCGGGCCGCCGCAGGCACGTCAGCATTCACTCACTATTATTCACACAATCTGTGATCAGACTCGTGATGATGATGCTGTTCATTCACAGACGGACGGCCTGCAGAGCGACCTGGTGTTCGCTGAGATCGGACGCAGGATCAGAGACGCGGGTCACGAGCTGGTGAAGAAGGTCAACGCCGTGCTCGGATGGGAGATCAGCAAAGACGGCCGAACCGTCCGAGAGTGGAGTGAGCGAGAGAAACTAGCTCGTCTTCTGCTGCCTCCACCACAAAAAAGCTTTCTCTTGCTCAGTGTTAGTGTCTTGTGTTCTAGTATAAATATCATTCTTGAATCGAGATGCGTTTACTGTACGAGGGAAATGAGTTAAGATATTACGTCTTGTTTTCTAAACAAATACAAATATCTTGCAATGGGGCAAGAAAAATCATCTTGTTTAGCTTTTGTATTAAGATTATTTTTCTTACATCATTGCAAGATAGTTTTGCTTGTTTTAATTAAAAATTTAAATTTTTTTTTTAAACAAGACTTAATATCATTAATATCTTGATTCAAGAATGTTCAGATATTTATACTAGAACACAAGACACTAACACTGAGCAAGAGAATCATTTTCTGCGGTGCAAGTTTGACATCTTTAACCCTCGTGTTGTTCTGCTCATTTTAGTTGCTGTTTAAAACTTTGACTTTGCTCACGCAGAGTAAAACAACTTTACAAGCAATTGTTGGATAATCTGAGCTCATGCACCTTTTTTTTTTTGAGGGATAAAAACTATTATTTGTGGATGATTTTGGCAATATTGACTCAAGAACTGAGGTGCATGCTCCAGAAAGAAGAACAAAGCCTGTGGCAATTGACAGAACAAGTTGATAAAAAGATTGAATCTATGATTTGGTCATTTGATCAGAGATTTACGAGCCGTTTTTCAAAGGCACAATCTTCTACGAGCAGCTGTCACATCCACAGTGAGTTCAGACGGCCGAGTTCAGACAATGCTTGTTATGGTTTTAGTTTGAGTTAACTGTAATAACCCTGCCTGGCCCTAAGTATCTGTTTTCTGAAAAATTGATCAAAATGAAGCGAGTTTATGCTGAACAAGAACAGATATCTGACAAAGGGCTCGTTTCTCTTTGAGTTCACTTGATTTTTAGGCAGATATTTATTGTTTTAATGGAAAAACTCACTTCATTTTTTTCAGAAAACAAGATATTTTGCGTCTCAAGTGAGTGTATCTTGATTTAAGATCGCTCGTAATTGTAATTTAGAAAGTATTTTGAAACTATTGTGAAAAGTGAGTTGAATTGAATGTTTATACACTTGTACGGGAAAACGAAATAACTTGAGATAGTAATTCTTGTTTTCTGAGAAAAAAAATATTTATAGTTTATGCTTGAAACAAGAAAATAAATCTCAATGGGGTAAGAAAAATTAACTTAATTCAGAGGAAAATTTAGATTATTTCTCTGACCCCATTAACAGATATCTGTTCTTGTTTTAAAGCATAAATCACTTAATTTTGATACATTTTTCAGTAAACAAGACTTCAAATTCAAGCATTTTCAAGGATTTCTAGCAACCCTGATGTTTCTTGATGTAAGAATCTAGGACAGAGTCACTAGCTATGTTTCCATCCAAAGTTACAAATTAAACTTGGGGAAAAAATTGGAATATCGCATAAAACATTTGTGAATAAAGCACCGTTTGCATCCAGTGAGGCATGCATCGTCACCTCCTGATTAACTTCACGAAGAAAACTACATTTGCTGCAGCAGCAGAAGGCACTGTATAGGATAATTAGTGTATACAAATAATTACGAGCTTGAGAGCGCGCAGACGAAACTAAGTCGTGTTATCTTATTTTCAGAGCCTGCTGTTTGGGAACACGGTTCTGGGAGTTAATTATAACAAAGCACTTTGACGAGATTTTGATTCGTTTTATCCCTTTGTCCCATCGCAAAGTCACACGTCTTTTTGATGTGCATTAAGGAATTGAATCAGTAAAAGTGTTTCTATTGTAGCTTATGCGCATGTTTTCTTACCGGATAAAAAATGTATCCTACTTTGTTGAGCGCATACGTTTTTTATGCACATTTTTAGAATTTATGCACATCTTGGTGTTTCTTTTTTTTTATGCGATATCCCAAAATGCAATTAAAAATAGGTGGATGGAAACATAGTATCACCGCAAAAAAAGATTCTCTTGCTTAGTGTTAGTGTCTTGTGTTCTAGTATAAATATCTGAACATTCTTGAATCAAGATGCATTTACCGTACGAGTGAAATGAGTTAAGATATTACATTTTGCTTTCTAAAAAAAAAATAATAATAAGCAAAAATAATCTTAATTCAAAGGCGAAACAAGGTTATTTTTCTTGCCCCATTAGCAGATATTTTTGCTCGTTTTAAGGATTTAAAAAATTTTTTTTTACAGAAAACAAGACTTAATATCTTAAATCATTTTACTTGTACAGTAAATGCATCTTGATTCAAGAATGTTATTTAAACTAGAAAACCAGACGCAAACACTAGGCAAGAGAAGGATTGTTTTGCAGTGTGCGGACTCTGACGGTATTTCTGACTTGCAGCCGTGGATCTGAAGACGGGCCGCGGATCTCTGCACACAGGAGCCTCTGAAGCAGACGTGATCTTCAGCGTCTCAGACGAGGACTTCATGGAGGTGGTGACGGGGAAACTGAACCCTCAGAAGGTGCTGCGTCTCTCACACTTCTGCTCATCCCTAACTTTTTGTTGTGCGATATATTGCGCCAGAAATAATTGCGATAAGCGATATTATTAGTCATTCTAAAGACCGTTTTATGCCACTGAATATATAATCCAAATAATAACACACACTTCCAAATGACAACACACTTTTAATTTTTAAGAATATTTAGATCGTGTAAATTAAATATCAAAATATTAGATACCGTAAAAAACCGAATAAACATTTTCTAACAAAAAGTGCAAAGTAGAAAAAAAGATAAATGCACACAGATTTGTCCCTGCCCTTCTTTTCTCTGCAAGTGAAGGATGCACACTATTGCTGAGAAACACAAGCACTACTCGAAGATCTCTAAACAAGATCATATCTGCAGAGGAAACTTTGCTTGTAGAAGCATTTTCTAAATGTGTACGAGCAGCTCATGATACACTGCGTTCTGTTCGAGAAGCTGCAGAAGACACCGGCGCAAGTGGAACGTACAAAACATGCCGACATTCATTTTCAAGTAAATATAACGTGCGATATCTGCATGTGCATGTATTGCGTGATAAGTGTGTATATTGATTATTGCGACGGGCCTCGTTCTGCTCTGTGTTTGTCCCGCAGGCGTTTTTCTCCGGCAAGCTGAAAGTCAAAGGGAACATCATGCTGAGCCAGAAGCTGGAGGCCGTGCTGAAGGACTACGCCAAGCTCTGAAGATCCTGAAGGAGAATCATCTCCACTAATGACAGCACTGCAAAACATCAGTTAGTGTCTTGTGTTCTAGAATAAATAGCTAAACATTCTCGAATCAAGATGCGTTTACTGTACGAGTGAAATGACTTCAGATATTACGTCTTGTTTTCTAAACAAATAATCAAAATGTTGTTAGTTTTTGCTTAAAACAAGTCAAATATCTGCTAATGGTGCGAGAAAAATAATCTTGTTTAGCCTTTGAATTAAGATTAATTTTCTT